TGTTTCAATTTGTCAGCATGTACCAGTTGCCCTTGTCAGAAGGAGGTGCTAGTTGTCTGATCAAGTCAACAACTACTCTGCTGAACAGCTCTTCTGTAAGGGGCATCTTATCCAGTGGCACGTTGGCTGCTTTCCCTTTAGCTACTGTTCTTTGGCAGATGTCACATGACCAGTAGAATCTGGTCACATCTTCATCTGGTGGTGATGACTAGCTCTAGTCTTACACTGCTAACACAGATAGCCCTCATGTAGCTTTGCGCAAAATTTAAAACAAACAAACAAGATTTATTTGACTATATCTCTTACTAACTTAACTTTTTCTTACTTTCTGTATTGAACTAATTTTTCGATGTGTATATATTCACACACGACAGCAGTCTCAAACATTTCTCACACCACAAGGTATATGATGCATCAATACTTACTTAAAACAACAAGAAAAATTCAGAAGGTTTGAGTAACATGATGTCAATTCACATCAATTACACTACACAAAATATAATTAGTACACAGTTACGTAACAAATCTGCGATAAACTATCACTTCTAAAAATAACTAGGTTTAACACTCATGTTATACTTAACCCCATCTAAATGAAAATACTCACATTAATTTAAAAATTAAATGAAACATTATATCTAAGACTGTTTTTGCAGTTTAGGTATATGATGAATAAACTGAGCATGATGACAATGGAAGAATGGTTTGTGTTATGTTTATATATACATCTTTATACTCTCTCTTTTAAAAAATAACTTAAGGCTACTTCAACTAAGTTCAACACTTGGGTTTCCTTCACCTCATAATGGAGTGTATCTTAATGTTAAAAAATAAAGTATGAATCAAATTCATTGAATCAAAATCTCTATCACTGACTCTGCCTGACTGATGAGAGCTAATACCGTCAAGCTTAGTTGTGCTGATTCACACGTGTAGTAAGGTCATTTTTATTTTCCAACATTTTTTCAGTCCTAACATTTGTCTAACACTTCAACACTTTAAGCCAACCTGCTTTTTTTAATATATAATCAAGAAAATTAAGGAAAGTGAGACTGCACAATGAATAGTAGTGAAAGGTTAAAACAATAAGAGTAAAATTGCCAGTAAATCCAACAAAAAAAAAACATTTCTGAAGGCAAGCAGTGCTGAGGAAAGAATGTATACTTCTCTGTTGATGCTGGGAATTACTGGCATGGAGGATGTGTCACCCTCTTGTTGATATAGTTTAATGATGATTTTATCATAGGCTGGTGCAGTACATCTTCATTTGGGTAGGGGTGGGAGTTTTGTTCAAAGCTTGTGATGTGCATAAAAATTACATAACACTTGGCAGTTGCTCTTGGTGATGCCAATAGGTGAATATCTGTCTGAAATACAGTTTCAGGTACTGAAAATATTAACTTTCATGCACCCTCTGTATAGGATTTAGTATGTTACAGTTTCAGGTAATGAAATATTAACTTTCAGCACCCTCTGTATAGGATTTAGTATGTTACAGTTTCAGG